TATATCGATAATTGTCATAAAGACCCGCATGCAATCCTGCTCAATCGTACAGAAACAAAGGAGCACGATCTCGTGCGTTTAACAATTTCCTATAAGGACACGTACGCTTTGCCACCTAGCTTGCACCGTTATGGATAAATTGGTGTTATGAAATGATAAATTTTTTTATAGAAAAAAAAATATATATATAACTCGATTAACCTTGTTCGAAAAAAACGTCGTAAGAATGATTTACGTTGTCGCCAATGACCTGAGGTGCCCTTTAACTTATTGGATTACATAAATGCTGCCCTTTATCACGGACTTATACGGGCACAGGGATGCGTTACGGCAACAAGGATCTTCCTGTGCCTTATGAGATTCTGTTTTGAATTATTACCGCTTCTCTTAATTTTCCACAGAAATACACGTGGTCCTCGAGCATAAACGGTTTCGTGGTTACTGTGAAGATTTTCAATTTTCTTTTTTCCTCATTACAGATGATTCTAACCTAATTACAACAACATGGCCTCGACCATGAGTCTGCAGCAGCAGACCTCGTCTCAGGACACCGTCGACTTTTCTGGTTACCTGCAATCGCACAGCCATCAGTCGCATTCGAAGCATCCTGACAGGCAGCAGCTACAGGGTGGTCAAAAAACATCGACTCGAGATCACAACGCCAGCTTCACCAGTACCAAGGGACTTTTGAATGGACCTGGACAGAACAATTGTTTTCTCAACAGTGCCGTGCAGGTGAGTGTTGAAAATAATTTTTTTAATATATATATTTTTTTTTTATAATTTTTAAGCCGTGATGGAAATTTGAGTTTGGTCTTTTTTTTTTCACGACGCCTGAAACGAGGCAACCCGTTATGCTTGCGCGTCGTTAAGCGCCTGTTGCGTCGACGACGCAAATTTTGTTAAGAATTAATTCGTTATTATGATTTCCATAGGCGCTGCTTAATTTATCGTTAAGTCGTTCCTATCTACGTCGCATTCCTTTTCTCTCGTAAGAAATCATTTCTCGCGTTAAGCTTCATTTACATACTACCTATATTCATTCTGTGTATGTATACCTCAACGCGCACGGAAATTACAATCAATTCAATTTACATGTAAACGAATCACTCTATCGTCGTCCGGATCCGATTATAGACGTTTGTTAGCGGTTCGTTAGACGTTGAGCGCCCGTGTGGACACGCCTTGTTCCTTACGTCATGTCCCCACGATTTCGTTCCTTTGTCCTTTGTGTACCCACACATACGTCATTAAATCACAAGACGCGCGTAGCGAACGTGCGACCGATAATCGGCTGAACGACATTTATTGTCTACGGTAATAATAATAATAACAATCGGGAGACGCAAAAAGGCTGCGCGCGCATCACGTGCATTATTTTTCCTCATTACCGTAGCGTCGTTGTCAAATACGCCAGCTCGAATTCCTTTACTTTCGATTAGCCGTGACTTTTATATTTTTTTTTCCCTCCCCTCTCGATCGCCGATTTAACATGAGCCTCGCATAACTTGACGTTACGCGACACGTGATCAAAGTGTCAATCGTGAACGCGCACGCGAACTAGGTGTGGTAACTGCCTTTGCGCCGCGTCACGATTTAGAAAAGAAACGACACCACGTGACACGTGGTTAACCCCTGTTATTATTATGTCTATCGATACACGCATTTTTCCCGTAGGACAAGCGATTAGGATAATATCAGTCCGATCGTACCTATTTTATCTAATACACAAGCGACCTCTCACCTCGTAATGTTTTTCCCTCGTGTCCCTGTGCCCCATTAGCTCGTCACGTGGTATTTTCCACGATGCCGCAAGAATCTCTCAATGAAACTTTCACGCGCTACTTCGATACAATTCCTGCCAGTGTGTGTACAGAATGGCATCGCCGTGGTAGTCCACACACGTGGACGGGCGTATAGCTCACTTGAGAACGTCATAGTACCAGGTGTCGTCCCACTGCGAATATACCCGTAAGGGTTAGTAAGGATACAGCGAATTGTATGTATGTGAAATTTTTGATACGCACTGTACGCGAAGTCAATGCCTAGTCCAGGCGGTACGGAGGACTAAATCTTATAACGGGATACAGTCAATGTATCGTTTACGTCGATTTAAGAGAGCTGCGAAATTTGTATTCGTCCGAGAGACACGCGCTCGTTCAATTCGGAGCTGGTGGATACGGCGAGAACGAGGGTAAGGCACCTATAGTACATTCGTTACAGGATCACTACGCATAGGTGTGTCATCGGTGTAAGCTGAGTGCGCGTGTACCCACGGGTGGACGTGGAACGATGGGTAAACATGACGTAGTTCGCGTATCGGCTATGTGTATGGTGTTATAGTAAACAAATTTTTTTGTTTCTCTCTGTACCCCAGCATGTATCGTATAGTGTGTGCGTGCTCGTTATTCTTCTTTTTTTACATTATGGCGGATAAAGACTGCACGTTAGCACGTACGTACTGTAGATCGACGTTTCATTCCGATCTGAAATTTCATGCTCGTCAATGACCCTGATTCGCGCGCTGCTTCGACTACGACTCGGAAATTATACACCCGGAGGCTTACGAACTCGGGAATTTTTTTTTGTTTTTTTTTTGCAAAAAAGTTCATCACGCCTATACGACTCTTATAACGGCGCGGAGAGCGCACGGTGACTTTACCTTTGAATTGTTTGACTGGTTCGACGTGCCCGTTATCATTTTTTTTTTTTTTTTTGGTTTACGATTTCAACCCATTCGGCCCGGTATTTACATATGTTAGCGTGGACCTGGTTTTGTGTTTAGATATTATTATTATTTATTGTCGATGGATCCAACGAGGCTTCTGCTCTATCGAATTGGGATAGTGGGTTTTTTTTTTGTGTTTATCCAACATATTACGGGTTTTCAGGGTTTTTTTCGAAGAACGGAGGAAAAATTATTTTTAAAGATTTTTTTTTTTTTTTCAAAAAAATCTTGTAACGCTTCTTGGTTCCTCCGACGCGTACTTCACTGACTTCTGGTTCAAGGTCTTTGTCTCGATTCTTTGTTCCTTGGCGATTGGCTCAGGCTCTATTTCTTTTTCCTGTGGATTTATGGTACCGGGGAATTGTTCCGGTAGGATATACGCCCCACGAACGTTGACGTTTAAGAGAATTTAGTTTTAAAGAAAGTTTTTTTTTCTTTTTTTTTTTTTTTTTTTTTTTTTTTTTTTTTTTTTTTTTTTTTTTTTTTTTTTTCTTAAGACTTTCCGCATAATATATCTCACGGTTATTAGAGCGATTTCTCTGGCTCTTGTCTCTCGTCCAGTCTTATCTCGCTGCATCCTAAATATTCTAACCTAACCTTCTCTGCGATTGCGAATACCCAACTTGCTCAGTCGCTAATTCCCACTCTCCACCGTTTAGCACAGGGGTTCAAGGTTCCCTTCGTGAACCATTATTTCCGGGACGAACCTCCTGCGGTTCCTGACTCCCTCTCCATGACTAATTATCCCCATGCGACTGCTCACGGTGCAACAGTTTGAATTTCGCAATGATGCAAAAAAAAATTACTTGGTTAAAGTCATCCGTAAATATCCAATAGCCGTTATACAACGAGGTTGTCGATCTTCGAGTTTCGCAATAGCTCGAGAGAGAAAAATCTTTCGGATTTTCTATTTTTTTGTTCAATTTCCTATACCTACCGCGAGTGCGAGAGAGACGGACTTATCGGCACTTGCGCGCGTAAGACAAAGACAGACGGACCCGTCACTGAAGTTCCTGTGTCAAGCCCTTTCATCCAATTAACTGAATACCAAAAAAAATTGTAATAAAGTTAATTTTTTTTTTTTAATCACTCCAAAACCTAAATTTCTCTGTCAGTAATTTTTTATTTTATTTTTTTCCCCTTCGCATTTAAAATCATACACAGAATTTACCAGCATAATACAACCGGGTAGGATATTAATGGAAAAAAAAAAACATTAACCTAACGTCTCTGCTTACGGTTCACCTGGTCAATGCTAATTACAACAAAACTTCCCTCGACTCCACCACTATGTTTTTCCGTCAAAAAAAATGCATCGCGTTCATTCATCGTCGTTTACACAATTTTCGTAATTTGACGCTCTTGCGAGTCTCGTACAACGCGCACTCTCCTATTTACATACGTGTACCGGGTGTACCTTCGCCGTACATAGTATTACGTAGCTATGTATGCCAACCAGCGCGAAAAACGGTTTCTCTACTCGTTTAGCATAAAGACTTTTTTACCACGCATAACGGGTTTACCTATTTCTCGCTATTATTTCCTTACGCAATCTTCGGACATCTGGTCATACGTTGCTTTGACACGGTGGGATCAATGGCATACGCTCCTCCCTATACAGTTTATTATTAATCATGCCAAACCGTGGTTAACGTGAATGTGATTCATGTATATCTATAGCTATTATGTATACGTCATATATATATATATATATATATATATATATATACTTAATGTTTAAAAATTGGTACGTGGCTAATCTTTGTTTGTTTACCCTCCCATAGTAATATTCTTGCGACTGTCACGTAAAGATTTTGTTAAGGTAGCCTAGTATGCTTTTAGTCAAAAATAGAAAAAAAAAGATTCTTCACGATAACTTCGTGAAAAACGACCGTACTTTTCTTATCGGCTCACCGCCTCGTATACCTGGCCGTATGCTGTATCATTGCGCCTTGAACGCGCGCGTACATTATGTATACACCACTCTACCTCCTATAGTCTCAAGGAGTATCTCTATTTACGTTTTGACTCTTTCACGTCGCGGCAACTTTGTTATCGTCGACGTTAAAAAACACTGACGATGAGCGACAACGGACACTTGTACCAAGTTGACTCTGGTTTTATCGAACGTGAGGTATTATATATATATATATATGGCTGTGCATATTTGCAGTCGACTGTAGATAAGGAGTCTCTCAGAGGAGCGGAGGGGGTTTTAGGAAGAATGAGGGGAAGAAAAAGAAATATGACTGCTGCCACGGCGAAATTTCATAGTAAAAGATTATACGTTGGGTTGACTCGACGCTGAGAATCCTCACGGTTATAGTCCTCGGTTTTACGTGAGTGGATTCTTTTTCGTTGTACGATTCTGTAATTTCGCCGCGAACTGTCAGATGGCGCCGGCGGCGACGTCGACTTAGCTTTATACCTGGAGACGAAAAACGTTGTCGCTTCGTTCCTTAAAGTTAATTCGCCAAGACTCGGCGGAGATATTGACGTCTTTGGACTCTGCCCGAAGACTCCTTGGTATAGAATTTAGAAGTGGCTGAGATCGTTCTCGTGTTATATGCCTTTGTCGAGGCGCCACTTGAGAATTTCTCTAGAGGGGCTTAATTAATCAGGACTTAATTCATGGAATTGACTTTACCTTTGTTACGGATAAGGAGCATTTTCAACGTAGCTGTCGCGAATAACTTTATCTGGTTCTTGTTTAGCCTTGCTTGTATGGTATTATGTTGGGCTGGATATATTACGTCTAGAGGACTGTGTGTGTGTATATATATATATATATATATATATATATATTGGTGCTTAGTTTATTTCGGCGTTTTCACTGGAGGGCTGTGCTAATTAACCATTCGGAATGAAAGGCTGAGTCAGCTAATGGCGATGGGGCTTAATGAAAACAGCCCTTCGAATTCGGTACCCTTAAATTTTACACTGGCAAGAAAATTGGTTATAAATAGGTGGCGCTGCAGCGTTCAAAATCACCTGCCGAAAAATGGAAGCGGCAACCTGCCGAGCCGTGTTGCATTTCCGGAATCAATTACCGTGAAGGACATTACGCAACGAGACGTAATATGGGAAAAAGTTTAATTTCCTGGATTTTTTTTTTTCGGTGATTCAAGCAAAAGACCATTGAGGTAAAAGTCTTGATTTTGCTTCGATGAGGAGAAATTCATTGCGTACGTTCTTCGCGTGACATTTGATTGATAATAAAAAAAATTTTTTTTGCATGAAACACAATTTTGGGGTTAGGAATATATTTTTGCATCGTTATATCGGGTGTACATTTAATGCCGGTACTGCCCGGTAAAATAACGGCGCGAAATCGTGACCTTTTGAAAATTTAATTTTGTCTCGCCCAGACAAATGCTTCGGGCTGTATCTTTGAGACGCGTTGCGGCCATTCCGCAACGGTACGACGCTCACGAAAGTAGGTGCAGATGTCATGCATTGGCCTAGTGGAATTTTTTTTTTTTTTTTTTTTTTTTCAAAATTTCATTCGATTGAGAATCACTGGTGGCAAAGTTGAGACTGCGACAGTACCGGCTCTGTATCCGCACTTCCTCCAACCACGACTTCTTCTTCGGGTTCAAGGCTTCCTTCGGGGCTTTTCGCTCCGGCGTGAAAGCCTGAGATAGACAGAGACAGAGATATCAGAAAAAGAATAAATAGATACAAGCACCTAAGCACGCATTGCGTACACGTGCATATGGCTGTGTATACATATAGTTTACGATACTACTACTTAATATTATTTATCAAAATTAAAATCCAATCCGCTTTACGACGCAGTTAAATTATCTAGGAATTCACTCCTGATTTCTAAGCGCAGGGAACCTAACCTAATTAACCATAATAATTGGCAAAGCCGTCTTCCATGAGTTTTCTACTCTAATTGCTCTCGCGCCGTAAAAGGATGGAAAGGCGAAGGAACATAAACATACTGTAGCTCTGCGTAGTCCCGACGCTCTCTTTGCCGGATTGTCAGGATTTTATGAATAATTTCTTGCAAGCTTAAGAGTCACCGAGGCGACTTTATTGCTTTACCAAGAGCACCGCTTAACGCTTGGGAAGGTTACGTCGGTACGGTGAGAGAATACGATTTTTCTATTTTCATATTTTGCCGCGTATTTTTCTTCTAAAGGATTCAAGATTATTCTTTAATCCACCTGTACCCCGCATCTTGGCACTGACGTCCTCGTCGGTACAGTTCATTTTTGGTCACTCCAAATGAAAATTATTGGCTTGGTGGGCGACTCGGTCGAAACTATGATTTTCGAGATCAGTGTCCCTCGCCCACCCAGTGAGCTTCCCACGTGTTCCTGACATCTCCAAGAAGCCACGGTCGCCTCCTATTCGAGTCAACCCGAAAGCAGCCTTGTGTATATCCGCCTTTACTCTGGTCAGTGATTGTTTGAGTTGTAAAACTGAAAGAAATAATTTTTTATATCTAAACTCTTGGAGGTTCCTGCAGCTGCCAGGTACGCGACTGATCTGCACCTGACCCTGGTGATCATTCTGGGGGATGCTCTGGGGATTTGACTTGGCGATTGGTCGAACAATGAAATAGAACGGCAGCACGTGCCCCGGGCCATTGAGCAGCTGCCCCATCGGGTATTCCGACATAGTCCACATGGCGCAGATGGATTTTAGCCAGCCTGGTCATCCACATTTTTCTGCGCGGTCCAAGAGCAAGCTCAGTGGGTGGACAATTCCCCAGTAAATTTGGATCAACTGCCTAACCTCACCTAGACCTAATCATACCAAAGGCCAATCAATACGGTTCGGTTAACCTCGCACGTTAAGGATGAGCTCAGCAGTGACATACGTACCGGCCCAAAGGGTTTCCCCAAGTGTCACAAGTTGCTGGCCCGTGATTCCTGCTACCTGGCGAGCAGTGGAACAATGGCCCATCCTAGACGGGTATAATCGTAATGCCCCTAAGGCCCTGCTAATGCTCTTCCCCGAAACTACAGACCGGAAGAGAGTCGCTACGGGACTCCGAGTATCTTGTGGAGCAGGTGTTCCTGAAGTAGCTTCTCTGAGTCATCCTCACCAGGTGATTCCCACTGGATGTTTGGTAAAGCAGACTCGAAGCTAGACTTGGCAGGTGTCTCCCCCTCGTGGCTCATCTTGACCGATTAGGCACCTCATCAAAATTGTCCCACTGACGATCATCCGTCCACTCGCTTCCTACGCCGTTCCTGAGATCATCCTGATCGTGCAACCTCAGGTCCCATATATGCAGACACTTCTGGGTCCAGTCTTGATCCTGGCACCTTGCCAGCAAAAATCCGAAGAAGGGCCTCTGCGCTGGTATAGTCAGGTGAAATGAAGCCAGAAGGAAGAGAGTAGCTCACCAGGGCGCCTCCTAAGAACCACGTGTGGGAAAACGCTACCATGCGAGACTGAGAAACGCGTGGGTTCGATTCCTCATGTGTGACGTATTCACTATTACTTACGTTCTTACGTACGGTTCACATACTCACGTATGCGTTGTCTGGTAACCATGAAGACATACTCATGAATTTTTCTCTTTATCGTCGCACCTGGTGAACGGTCTTGGAATCTGCAAGAAGAACCAGAGCTAAATCTGTATACCTATATATATATATATATATATATATATCGGTTTTCTATCAGGTTAAATAAGTATTACCAATGCACCACGAAGACTCACGTCCATTCGATTCAATGAATTTAGGGAACCAGAGCTAAATCTGTATACCTACATGAAGACATACTCATGAATTTTTCTCTTTATCGTCGCACCTGGTGAACGGTCTTGGAATCTGCAAGAAGAACCAGAGCTAAATCTGTATACCTATATATATATATATATATATATATATCGGTTTTCTATCAGGTTAAATAAGTATTACCAATGCACCACGAAGACTCACGTCCATTCGATTCAATGAATTTAGGATTTCGATGCATTGAAAAATCAACTGGTACCGATATTCACACTGTTTTTTTATTTCCAAAGGAACCTTCGAATTCGCATGGGAAATTCGACTGGGTACTTCTGGGAGTGGCGCGTCGGTTTCCGGATGTCAAAAAGAATGAAGGTGTTAAATATACAGGGTGGGCCCGGTTTATTCTTATGTTAACGCTTTTCATTCAGCGCCACGTGGCTTTGTCCATGGTAGAGACCCGTATGAAGTTCAATCTAGTCGTCGCCATGCAAACTGTATAGGAATTCATATTTAGTATATTCAGAGAAGGATACGTGACCTTCGAAAGAGCACGTGGAGGTTTGATATCGACGAGTTACATCAGTTCTCATCACGTGCTATAATTTTTCTTACCCTTTAGTCGATTGTCCAAAACTCTCGTTACAAACTAACCCTTAGCGGCCTTATGGATTCTCTTGCGATTTTTAGGTTAGACCCATTACGCATCGTCTCCCTCGCCAGCTCATCCAGCACAGCGAGTCTATCTAAATCCTCAATCTTTGAACTCCAGTATAGCTCAACCAAGCGAATCGTCCTCCCGCAGTGTTCGCACTGTTCGCAGTTCAGCTCGTCCCACCTTGGATCAGCCTGTGAAATCTAACCCTTTTGAACGCTCGAACAACCTCGACTGACTGCTATAGCTGACTATACCTTATAGAGTAGATAACTTTAGTGTATCCTGCAGGTCTGCGTAGTCCCACCTGAATGTTCGTCCTACTGGACCAGAACCATCCCACTGATCTCGAGTTATACTATACGGTATAATGCATATATGTATATATATATATATATATATGCAGATCTGTCAGTAATTTTTATTTCCCACTGACCGACGAGACGCCATCTTTTTTAAAATGTATCCTCCATACCTGACTGTACATAATTTCGTATGCATAGTAACGGTTGATTCACACTTTGTATTTTGTGTTATCACTCCCTGCGGACCAAGGAATTCGATTAGGATCCTCCCCAGTGACGAGTTAGAGCCTGAAATTAAATTTCAAGCTGATTGAGTATCTACAAACATTTTTTGTATGGGTCAAAGTTCAAACGAATTATTTAATGCATTCGATAATTGTATTTATACACTTTGCAATGTGTACCCTTGTGCTTTGTTTTCTCCGATAATGAAAATGCGATATTTTACGTAGCGACGTTGGCTCCGCCAGGGTGTAAATGAGAAAATGATTTCCTTGGTAAATCCTGGAGATATGTAAAATAACATAAAATAACGTAACCAGTCTTGCGTAATTCTTATGAAAGATCGTTACGATGCTTGGGGGTTTCTCAAGACCTTGATTAAACTCAAACATAGAATAAAATTATTATGGATGCTGTAGGAAATGGTACAGGGTGCTGCGTTGTCGTTAGTAACAACGGGGATGTATTTTGAGGATGATTGATTTAAAAAAAAAAAGAATTAATCCAAGCGCACAGGTATGGATACAATAAATGGCTTGATTAAACTCATAATTGCTATACGCACTTTCTCTGCCAATTTTTCTATATTGCGCATGCTCATTGCACAGGCACATAACTATTCGCACAGGTTAGCAATGCTTGCAATCCAATTCCTGTTATCCAATGAATTTCATCCATTTGCATTTTCTGCAGCGATTTCACGCACGTTATTCCCTTGCTGTAGCAGTTCGTCGTAGCGTCCAATTCGTAGAAATGCAAATGCGTGACGTTTCTATATACACGATACAATAACATTAATAATTGCGTAACTACCGTCATGAGTAATATACACGGTAGTAATTTTTTAGTTTTCTCTTTTTTTTTAGAAAAAAAAAGGAAGATTTATCGCCCGCTTCATAACCGTTAATTATTCCCTGAACGAAACACATCGACCCACCTTCCATTGGTATTAACTCGTAAAATATGACGGGTTAGGTTATTCGAGGTTAGGTTAAAAGAGTCACGGTTCTGCTTCCAATGTAATTCTTCCAGGAAGCCCGATCCGACATTCTTGCACTGTCGGTAAATGCGAAATCACGAGAACCTCAAAAGAGACGTAGAGGCAATAATTTTGTTGCCGTACGGTAAGAAACGTTCCTCGATAACAATAATTTGTAAAACACGGGCCATTTATTTTACACGCTCGTGCCTCGTTGTCTGTGACTTACATGTATACCGCCCTACTGGTTTCTACTCCTCGCGATGATTGCTACGGTTGACTCGGTTTTGTTTTGTCTTCGGCGGGCGAAAAAAACTCGTGGATTCTTCGTAAAGTCGAGTTTACGTTCGAGCGCCGCTGCGCCATCTGTTGGGTAAACTCGAAAGGTCTCTAGCCAGTAACAAATACTCACTGTTGACAGGAATGAACTCGTGTATACGTGAAAAATAATAAGGATGAACCCACCGATACATCTTACGAAAGGAGAAAGCCAAAAGGACAGGAACAATGGATAAGGATGTTCCTGGTGAACAGAGTTAGGAGTTATTACAAGTGGAAAGAAGCAACACGTGGGTAGTTATAAAGGTGACGGATATTTTTAAACCCCGTATCATTTCCATTGTTATGGCCGATAGAGTTTACGGGGGGTTATGTTTGGTGCGCGAAGTGAAGTTACGTTGCTCTCTGTGGACAAAAGGGAAATGAGAATTGGTGTTTGGATGTAATTTCGACGGCCTGTGTCGGAGGTACGATTATAAATTAATCAAGGAGTGGATAATGAGTCCTTAGCTTGGACACGGTTGCTGCTCTACGTGGGAGCCACTGATGTCTCTCCGAGGTCTGGCGCCTCTCTTACATCTCTTTACACAGTGAAAGAAGAAGCCCCCAGCGGAACCACGTATCTACAATACGTATACCGTGATTCACACCTACGTCCATTAAGGCGAATGTGATTCTCGTGCAATTATACTACCCGAATAGGTTTGCCAAGTTACGCCAGACCGGAGATTGCTGCTTTCATGCTGTAGGTATATCATACCTATGCATACGTAACTAGCCGTGCCGTACCGATAAATCCTTAATTTTTTTAATCTTTTCTTTTTTAATAAATTTTGACGACTACAAAAGAAGCCTAGGATTTCCACGAAAACAAATTAAAATCCACGTGGATCGTAATTAATCTACGGAAGATTTAATCTTGATCGCACGAAAGATGCAAAGGGATTAATAATCAAGAGGAGTTACAGCAATAATACAGAAGGATGTTTTCCCTAGGATTCATTACGATAACAGGAAAGGCAAGTTCTTATGAAGTTTACATGCTGTTAAATATAGATATAGATATATGTGTGCACATATATAAATATACTGTAAAGCGCATTCATTTAGCGCACTAACTATGAATAAGTGCTCCACAGGCCGACATTATTAAAACACGTGAAACCCGGTATCTCACGTGGTGTAGCCACCGTGACCACATAGTAATAGTAAAAGCGCAGAGATAGGAGAGGTTATATAGCCTCGACCCGGGGGCTGCTGAATGAAGGAGGACCGAAAGAGGGCTCGAACCGGAAGCCGCCACCGGAACCGCTCCTCCTTGCCAGGTTCACATGGCCACTGGTAGTCGAGGAGGTCACGATAATTCTTTGCCGTCTACGCTATACTGGCTGCAGGTGCTTCCATCAGATAAAGGCGGATTCACACCGAACTTCGTTGAGGAGTCGAAACGTCTTTTGCCATGTAACTGCCGTCATTGCCGTTGCGTCTCGAGTCAGTGATCTCTTTCATTTTTTTTTTAGTTTCCTTCGTTTCCGACCACCCCCTAGTACCGGACACCATATGCAATCTCGTGCATATTGCATAAGGAGTAACGAGTGGATTTTGAACTTTCGATTATTTCATCCATCCGCTTCGATTTACGGGGGCCTGACGGAATTATTAGTCCGTGGGAAATCGCACTGATTCACCCCCCTTTTTAGGGATGAAAGGATTCGACGTGGCTAATGGCGCATGACCGGACTCCATGGTCCATGTAAACACGACCGATGGACTTGAACGCATTAATTATTGACACTTTGACATTTTTGAAAAGGTTAACTATTTTCTTTTTCATGCGTAACGGTAACTCGAATGCTTGTGCAAATTTCGACCTTTTTCGAGAAGCTTTGAAAAATAGTCGTTTTGCAAACTGTCACGCTTCTTGCTTACTTGCGAATTCCCAATGGCACTGCAATGGAGTTAAGGAGTACAATCGTGTCGAACCATTCGCGAATTTTAATTCGAATCAGTTCGCAGCAATCACTACGTTCGATTAGGATTTTATTAGTCCCTCTGTAGATCGTCCGTCTGCGTCCTAATCGTATAATATTCTGTTTTAATTAGTCTTCGTGTAATAATGAAAAAAAAGGCTTGGCTTAATATTCTTTAATTTATACTCGTCCTCTTTTTTTCTTGATTACCTTCTCTTCATGGTCGAACCACATAAAATTTGCATTCTCATATAAATCCTAGTCGTTTTCACACGGTCGTATCGTTCGACATTTAAAAGTCAAATTGACCGTTACAATATCGCTTACTTGTGCGCCTGCGCGCTGGCAACCCGCGACGCACGGAAGATCAGCCGGTCGACCATAGGCGTTCATATTCGATCCAAATATTTAATGCAGCGTCCATTTGATAGTCTGTAAGAAAATAATTTCTTTCAATCGTATTACAGAAACAGTCATTTACAGTCAGCATCGGACAGTGCACGTGCTCGAGTTGACTATTGTAAAATAGCATGGCCGCATTCGTGCAGTGTATACTGATAGCCTATGGGGATCCACGTGAGCCATGTAGCCGCGTACTTGGGTCGTGTAAACAATACTTGATAAAGGTAAAACGCAGGTATAAGTTCACCGAGTGGTTTCTAGAAATGGCGACAAGCTGCTTATTGTCTTGGGACTGTTGGGGATTATGGGCTTTGACCAGAATAATATTCTTTGCTATTTATTCGTCTTTTGAGGTTGGTATCTATTTTTTTTTTACTCGTGGCTTACTTCTATACTCGTTTGAGTGACTGTAGAGACATTATCACGTGGTACCAGCTGTGCGTAGTACTACGATCACGTAGACCCCGTTCTCCGGATCTGTAATGGCGGCGGGTCAACATCCTATCCGTATTGCTTAGCGCTGGTGGCGATCCTATAGGATGTTCGTCGAAACTCGAGATGCTCTCGGCGAATGGCTGCTCCTCTATCTTCCCGCGTTCTTACTTGGATATATATAAGCTTGTCTGTCGTTCTTTGTTGTAACTTCGAAAATATTTTTTTAACGTCAATATTATCGATTCTCAAGTATTTATTATTTAACGAATAAATAAATTTGATATTAAAATTTATATTTTTATGAGAAATTATACAGTGCGTAGGGAGATAATTATGAGGTTAAAAATCTAAAAATTTTATTGAAGAAATTTCAAAATATCTCATTAAAGCATTATCTTGATTCCATTGTTTTCTTCGAGTTTCCTGTCAATTTCCTACGGGTTCCCATGTTGGTCAGTGTTTTGACCAATGGCGATTCTTCCCGCCCGAACGGCTTTATCCTTGAAGGCAATATTTTTTTTTCCAATCAAAATTTTTTTTTTCGCTACAGGTTGCCGTCCCGACAAAATGGCGGCGAACCGTTGTCGGGTTACCGTCGGGAGGGAGGCTGGCATTGAAATCTCCATAGGGATAAAGAGGGAGTCGAAGCGCGCGCAACCAATTTCTGAGATTCCTCCGGGGTCTCCCGACCAATGGGAGACTCTCCCGCTTCTGGTATCCTTGAATATAAGATTTTTCAAAAGTAACTGCTCGGACCCGCAATCTTCATTCTCATTCCGGTCACGTTTACAGTCTCCTGTACCTATATAGCATAGACAAGACAAATGGCATCCCTGCGGACTGTACTTACGTTAATGGCTTATTTCTTGACACCCCCCTCAACCGGATGTACCAAAAGATCCCTCAGGACATGAAACTCCGCTAACGTCCATGGACCATTCGTTTATAATTTTTAACAAAAATTCATATACTCCAACCAAAACCAATTGGTACCCAGAAAGCCCACATGCACTTCCTACGCAATTGCGTTAATATGCAATCTGTGCTCATTTTGAAAAAAAAAATTAATAAATCAAAATGCAGATTTCGTATCGGTACCAATACGTAGGACGCATACGTGGGTTTGGTCCAATTATCATATTTCTTCATTGCAATTGGTACCAACTGCTTGTCAAGGAATTTAAAAAAAAAATCAAAATTGTTTCACAACAAATTTTCTACAAGTTCCATGATCTCGCACCAAACTGCAATTTGGATGCGCTATGAGCACGACTGATTAAAATTAATCCAACGAAAGCACAATACAAGGGCACTTTTACTCCAGTTTTAATCCTGGAACCAGTTCACCCCACATAAGAGACCATCGAGCTAGCCTCTTTTACGCCGCAGCAGATACTCCTCTGACCCCCCACGGAACCGGTCCAGCTGCGTCCTTTTCTCTGCCCGAACTTTCCTCTTCCTCAGCCAAGCAACCTAACCTGACACTACCCTCAGCTTCCTATCCAACTTCGAAAACGAGTTTAGTCCCTCCTCTTGCCACCTGGTCCCCCGGTCTGCGTTCACTTTGGCCTCGATACACCTACTCCGATGCACCCTGGTGTATGAAAGGTCCGACGAGCCATTTAAAAAAATGCTCTTTAACACGTAACACCGTATCCATTTTTTAAACAAATTTTACACCTGCACATCAAATCCGAAAAAAGTTGGAATAACATTCCTTCACAGATTTCCTACAGTCCTCGACGATCCGTCAATTCGCTCCTATCGGTTGCAATTTATTGCTCCGTTCCACCATTCACTTTTACACTCATCCTTTTTCAGGGTATCCCACACGCTGGGATGTGTCTATTAATAATCCGTCGATATCAAACTGTCTTACCTATCCTTTCGTTAAATCACCGTAAATCCTACTCGGATACACTCGCGATATGTGTCTCTTCCCACTAGTGGGTGCAGATCCAGATCCTGCCGGTGGCTGTGCGGACATATATACAGGTATAGAGCGTTGCTGTTAAGGATTACGAGAAACCAGTTTCCCAGGTTTCGTTGCTTTTGTTTTCGTGGCGCGCACGTGCGCGCGGCACCTCAGTAAACGGAGGAGCTATTCACCGGAGGAGGAACGAGAGAGGAAAGAAAGAAGACGAGCTGGACCGACTATGGATGCTGTAGACGATATAGATGATACGAGATTTAAAAAAAAATTCATAAGTAGCCCACGATAATTTTCTAATTTCACATGTGCGAGTCCAAATTTAATATAATCGTCATAACCGGTCCATTCTACCTCGAGATTCATCTCGCGGAATCGCGTGCGTCAGGACCTTTGAGATTCATCGCCCACTGTCTCTTAGCATGGTAGGAAGTGTCTTGCAGGTGCACTCGGTTGCAGCGATTCGACTTCTGGTCTCTTCCTACCTACCGTCTGCGTATACCCTGCGTATACTTGGAATAACAAGATTCTTTTCGTAATAACCTTTCCTATTATTTACATTGATGGCCGCCATCTTTCTTTTATCCCTGTCGTTTACACGCCTCTGAGCAAGAGTCGCTGACGTCAGAGTTAAAACTGCAACCAGCTGTCCTCGTTTTTCGGGGTCTCTGGTATTTAGGGATAATTCCAATAGTTCGAGGCAAAACGTCCGACTCGTCGCCCGTTTAAGCGATAACGTTTTCGTTCGTTCTCGGCGAACAAGGAAATTACATGAAAACTAATGCCAGCGGATCAACAGGTATCTCTGATACCGAACTACGCTAAGCAGTAGCACGTAAACCGATCGTAGATTACCACGCGGGGAGCCAATCCGAATCTATCCGTGAACTGCCGGAAGGGAGGATCACGGCAGTTAGCGGTAAAACTTTTCGGACTGTTACCCTTTAACGGGTGGCGAATACGTTTTCTTTGTTATTTAGGCAAATGGCGAATCCCGATTAGAATTATCAGGCATCTTGGTCTCGGTTTGGCGAATCGTTAAGATCGCTGTGGTAATGGGGTATGTGTATGCAAATTGAGTGGTGCCCTCTTACGGTACCGAGAAGCTTCGCCGTAGAGGACAAAGTCCACTGGCAAAGGGTGTGATTATGTAAAAAAATTTTATCTTTATTTTCCAATAAAAAATTGAGAGCATTCAAGGCTGGTAGGACCGTTGAAAACTTTAGGGGTTTCTGCAAAGTGGCTCCTGGCACCAGAACGACATGGAATCTGTCATTTTTTTTTTCTAATATTATAGGTTAGGTTAGAAAATTGCTACTACCGTACAAGGACCCCGCTTATTAGCAGGCTTCTAGATCGTCCCTGGACCATATTGGCATCAGCCTTAGGTAGCAGCCCGTAAACTGTTGCAAAATCAGCAGCAGCTGCTGGCTGCTTCGTGGATGCTGGCACGAGGCTTCAATGAGGTTACATCATAGGATG